AGTTATGTGTTAACTAGTAAGACTTGCATCACTAAACCAATATTATCTCTATAAAATAATTCTTACAATCTAAAAATATATTTCTGGTTTTAAATAACCTCAAAGGATTGATAAGCCGTAGAATTGAATGAATCAATCAATCAATGAAATTCGGACATATTATCGACAATTGGGATGCAAATATGAAACACCTTATTCGAAAATTGGAGAAATACAATAAAAAAAAGTAAAAAATAACCAGACAAACCTTGTCGGTTGCATTTGATTAAACTTATCCGAATTTGATTAAATTTACACCATTATTTCTAAAAAAAGAATACAAAACTGTATTTTAAGTACAAAAATATTTTCGGTAGAATTATTTCTTAATTACTATTGTATTGTCTCTGAAATAAATGAATTTAACAGACAACGTCTTTATCAAAATAGATTATAATCAATATTCCAAGCGACACCTTTTAATTTTATAGTCTTCCCTCAGAATTTTATTTCACCTGTGTTACAAAAAACAAGTATCTTCCCTCTCTAGATAACAATCTTAAAGATTAGATCCAACATTTTAAAAACTTTTTTGTTCTCTCACATTCACCTTTTTTACCTATATTTTTCACGTCATCTACATTTTGCTACTTCCACGTTTCTCTCTATTTGTCCTCCTCTATCTTGCCTTCTCTTTCTATTTCCATGTCTTTTCCTCTCTCCCTTCTTTTTTAATCCCTTCATTCTTTCTTTCTTTTCTCTTCTCACTCTATGTATCATTTTTTGTCTCTCTACACCATCTATTTCAAGCATTCGTTATCTCTTTCTTTTTCCCTCTTTCACATACTATAGTTCTCTTCTCCTTTCCTCTTTTTTCTCATTCTTTTTCGGTTTCCAGTCTCTCTCTCTCTTGTCTCTCTCTCTCTCTCTCTCTCTCTCTCTCTCTCTCTCTCTCTCTCTCTCTCTCTCTCTCTCTCTCTCTCTCTCTCTCTCTCTCTCTCTCTCTCTCTCTCTCTCTCTCTCTCTCTCTCTCTCTCTCTCTCTCTCTCTCTCTCTCTCTCTCTCTCTCTCTCTCTCTCTCTCTCTCTCTCTCTCTCTCTCTCTCTCTCTCTCTCTCTCTCTCTCTCTCTCTCTCTCTCTCTCTCTCTCTCTCTCTCTCTCTCTCTCTCTCTCTCTCTCTCTCTCTCTCTCTCTCTCTCTCTCTCTCTCTCTCTCTCTCTCTCTCTCTCTCTCTCTCTCTCTCTCTCTCTCTCTCTCTCTCTCTCTCTCTCTCTCTCTCTCTCTCTCTCTCTCTCTCTCTCTCTCTCTCTCTCTCTCTCTCTCTCTCTCTCTCTCTCTCTCTCTCTCTCTCTCTCTCTCTCTCTCTCTCTCTCTCTCTCTCTCTCTCTCTCTCTCTCTCTCTCTCTCTCTCTCTCTCTCTCTCTCTCTCTCTCTCTCTCTCTCTCTCTCTCTCTCTCTCTCTCTCTCTCTCTCTCTCTCTCTCTCTCTCTCTCTCTCTCTCTCTCTCTCTCTCTCTCTCTCTCTCTCTCTCTCTCTCTCTCTCTCTCTCTCTCTCTCTCTCTCTCTCTCTCTCTCTCTCTCTCTCTCTCTCTCTCTCTCTCTCTCTCTCTCTCTCTCTCTCTCTCTCTCTCTCTCTCTCTCTCTCTCTCTCTCTCTCTCTCTCTCTCTCTCTCTCTCTCTCTCTCTCTCTCTCTCTCTCTCTCTCTCTCTCTCTCTCTCTCTCTCTCTCTCTCTCTCTCTCTCTCTCTCTCTCTCTCTCTCTCTCTCTCTCTCTCTCTCTCTCTCAAAATTATCTAGATACATCTTGGAGTTTGTATCAACAAATATACACTGAAATGAATTACACCTCTTGAAGGAGAATGTCCATTTCCACCTGATTATAATGTGTATCAAATATAAACCTCTGAAATGGAGTTCTTAATTATTCTCGCCAGGTCGAGGCTTTCATGTGGATGTCATGTACAGTGCCGAACACGTTCAGAAATACAAGAAATTTTCAACTGTATAACGCTTTGTTAGATCAATGGTCAAAATTGATTTTTGAGAGAGAGAAGCCTGAAGATCTTCAAACATTGATCTTCATTGTAGACTGGCGCCACAAAATCACATACAAAGAATTATGTCAGATAACAAAAACTAAATAACTTTAAGACTTCCAACAGCAGCAAAAATTAAATTAGATATTACATGTAACTCGAAGTGCAAATAATGACATAATTAAGATGCTGACATTCCCCACTACTTCAAACAAAACGTTAGGAAGGAAACACCCATCAATACTGAAAAGAGCGATAACGGTTACTGACCTTAAGAAACTGGCTGCTCGGTTGATGAATGCTTTATAATAAAGAATCAACTAATATTACCATTAATGCTACCATACTGATGATTACAGATATTCTTTTCCAATTGTTCGACAATCTAATATTGCACCGTTTGTGTTTGAATTTTATACGGTGTCGACGAGTCCAGAGAAAGCAGGTTTCATGATAGAGACGCACATAATCTACTTGGATTTAATTAGACTTTTTCAAGAGTTTTCTTTACTTATTCGCCCAAAACAAAGCCCAGGAGCAACTCAAGGTAGAGGGCTACTGAATAAGGCGTGAGTTATGAGCGTAAGAGGTGGAAGCAGAAGGTGAGAATACGGAGGATAGCTAACGATTGACCTTAGACCTTAAAAGGTCAAAATTGCAGTTTACGGGAAAATATCCTCCCGGGAGCCTGTTCCACAAAGTAACGTTTCTTGGGAAGAAAAATTTTTGAGGGGAACATTCTTCTTATCAATAGAATACACGTGCGCATGTATGTATATTCGTACGTGTTGAATGTCGGGGTTATTTCTTGTTTTCATACACTTTCTCCCTGTTCCGTCCTGGGTAAACTACATCCAACAGCAAGGCCTCTGATCAGGAGGTTTTGAGGAGCGTGGAACCACCTCTTAATTGATGGTGTTCACAGGTCCGCCCTGACCCGGGGTGGTAGCACCTGTTAGGATTCCAGCTATGGACAAATAGTTAACCACCAAACTGGGGTCAAAACACTATGAAAGTGTAAAAATAGGTTTTAATACCAGAAATGCTGTTTAAAACAAAAATTATTACCAGTAATAGATTTTTGAAAAAAAAAAACATATTAGCAACTACACATTGTTTTAAAAAATATTACCAGCGAACGAAAATTATTACCAGAAATAGATTTTTGAAGGAAAAAATATTACCAGAAATAGATTTTTGGAAAAAAATATTACCAATAATAAAAATTTTGTCAGCATTAAATAACCCATTGAGGTTGATATACCGTAAAACAAAGCAAAGCAAACTCCTCCTCTTGCTTTATCTTCATTTGTCTATCTTTTGGGTCCGACCGTCAGGTAATTTAAGAATGTTATTTCCTCACATAACTTTGTGTGTGTGTGTGTGTGTGTGTGTGTGTGTGTGTGTGTGTGTGTGTGTGTGTGTGCACGTGTGTGTGTGTGTTTGTGTGTGTGTGAGGCGAGAGAGAGAAAGGTACGCAATATATATATATATATATATATATATATATATATATTGCGTACCTTTCTCTTTCTTATATATATATATAAAGCAATGTTCAATAAGTGTGCACGTGTGTGTGCATTTGTGTGTATGAGAGAGAGAGAAATAATATATATATATATATATATATATATATATATATATATATATATATACATTGCTTACCTTTCTCTTTCTTATATATATATATATATATATATATATATATATATATATATATATATAAAGCAATGCTCAATAAGTATTTATATAATTAATATACGAGTGCTTTAGGCTCAGCAATATCTAAATAAGCGCCTTTATCCCATTATTGATTTCGTCTTATGAGACCAAATGTTTTTATTTTCATACTTTTATCCTACTTTCTTGTCAGATTTGCTTATATCAGATATGTATACGAGAAAGAAACGTCCAGCTAATTAATATCTGTCTGCCTTTGGTACCGAGTTATAATGATTATATTGAGAGACGTAATATCTTAGTGCTTTGTCATTCGGGGCTTTTCGCTAACAGGTTAGTTTGATTAACAAAACTTATGTTGAATTCAAAATTGGTTCCTTTACTGGAATATAGAATGCGTCCATTCCGCCTTTTCATTAAAAATCAACTGATAAATTAAATAAGTTTTCATGTTAGCGATCTAGTTATATCAACCATGTTAGAAAATGTGAATGTTAATAATTTACTGGATGTACTCGTACATAAGTCGATCTCATTTATAGATTAATCTTTCTATTTATTGAGCTTAATCCTAATAAACGCTCAAAATGGAATAACATAGAAACAGGAGGATTTTACTGCGCCAACATTCCAAGAGAAACACTGACCGGTGACGTCACCTCTACTTACTATAACAAGTTGGTTTTACTTGATGAAGTAGCTACTACCTCATCCAATCAGTTTTAAATTGTCCTTCTCCTAGATTGGTTGCCAAACAATGTAAGAGAGTCCATTTTTCCCTGTAATTTAACTTATAGCTGTTGAAAGACGATACACATTTTACTATGTCTTTACCATTGTGAAAGGGAACTCAATGAATTCGACTGGAATTTGAACACAACACGATGATTTTTACTTTTCGAGCAGATAAGCGCTACGTCTCTCAGGGTATGTCCAGTGCTAACACTATAAACCAATTATCTCATCTACAAAATTATCTGCAATTATCCCTAATTATTTCTAATAATTACTAATAGTTTTATTCAATTTGATTCGTTTTCTACGGCTTATCAGTCTATTGCAGGTTATTTAAAGCCAGAAAATATATTTAGATTGTAAGTTTTTTTTTTGCATATAATAATGATGTAGTGATACAAGTCTAACTAATTAATCCATAGCTGGGGAGAGAAGAGTTGAATTCATACCTTTCCTCAGATGTATTTGCACGTAGATATAACAAACCCAACTGGAATTGAAACCCTGCTCTCCGATTAACAATTTCGAGCCATTATCCATTACACAACATGGACATCCAAGTTTAGAGCATCTCGTATTGCCAAGTGGTCACCCATCTAGGTACTGATCAGGCTCGACATTGCTTAACTCCGGTGATCGTACGGGAAGAGGTATTTTTTAGAATAGAAGTTAAATAATATTATTAAATTTATTTACATTATTAAGATTCAATTGGCAACACAACACTTGCTCACTTTGTGTAGCTTTAATCATGCCTCATTGTCACAACAACGAATTTTCTCATTACGATTTAAACCTATTTGCCAAATATGATTGGAGATATGAGTGAGGTGTTCTGACCATAAAACATGGGCCGATTAGTCATGGAGGTGGCGTCCTTATATCGGGAGACGACTCAAGACTTTTGGCGCCGTTAGAAATTTAAAAAAACTGAAAAACTAAACCACGAGTTGAGCAAAGCCTTGTGAGTAACATTGGAATAGTGTATCGTTGTAACATCAAGTTTTTGTAAGAATCAAAGCTGTGATAACTTCTAAGCTACAAATTGGAGGACCAAATCAACTACAAATGTATCTTCCACGTGAAGAAAGAATGTAAAAAAAAATAAACAAATCATATATTATGAACTCAGAGTAGGAACAAGACCGCGTTTTTGAAGGACATCCACTGATATTTTTTTCTTTTCACCAAGGAATTCGTTCAATTTTAAAATATTTGTATTTGGACGGCTAACGCGAAGAGGAATTTGTCGTTACAGAATGAAGACCTTTAAAATCAAATGAAAATCAGATGCAAAAGCCAAACACACCGGTAGCGACAGCGTGAACGAATCAACAGTTCGATCATCACGTGACAATTCCCGTGCACTCTGTATCGTGTCCAATGTTTGGGCTATGAAGCCACCAAAAGACTGCAACCGGAACCTCTTCTCGACAACGGGAATCGCTGATAATAATTGTGAAAAAACTGAACAAATTCCCAAAACCACTTTGCCATTACAGAATGAACATTTTTGAAATTAAATGCATATTTTCAATTTAGATTTGCCATTACATAATGAAGTTCTTTGGATTTAAATGAAAATCAGATGCAGAAGCCCAAAGAAAAACACACCAGTAGCAACAGCGTGAACGAATCAACAAAGGCTATGAAGCCTTCAAAGACTGCATCCGGACCCTCTTCTCGACAACTGGAATCGCTGATAATTATTGTGAAAATAACTGAACAAATTCTAAAAACGTCATGCACGCATTGACCGCGGAATGCCAGAGGATAAAATTAGAAAACTTCATTCGGTATGAAATACTGTTAAATAGGTAGACCTTATTCGAAACTGCAATAAAACCACGAATATTTAATACTATTTTGTAATTACTTTCGTTCTTATTTTTCAATACGTGTGTGCAATAAACGAGTCATCAATAGATTCATTACAAAAAACGCTGTTCACTTCGACGTTATGTAACGTTTAAGAAGCTTGTCATGCTAGAACAATTGCGATTGAGTTGTGACTTCGATCCTCGCTGGGTGTTCTATACTATCGGCCTTGTGCCACATCTAAACGTAGAAAACCCCTTTAAGCACTTCGACGTAGTGTAATGGTTAACAAGCTTGTCTCGCTAGATCAATTACGACTAAGTAGTGAGTTCGATCTTCACCTAGTGCTCCACACTATCTTCCCTGTGCCATATCTAAGCTACTCTTAGAAAATTACGGTTACCTAAAAGTTACAAAAAACATATTCATTACATAGTAAAATCAATTAATCAAAAATCAAAAATGATATTACTTCACTGTTTTGAAGGAAGGTTCTCACTATAAAAGGCCCGGGAGACACTCGAGGATGTTGTTGCATAACTGCGGACGATTATGGGTAGGCCCCTATTCCCATAAATACAGTAGTCAATACTGTATGCATAGGTCAGCCGACCTGCAGTTTGAGATTCATCTTCAGCTGGGGTGGTTAAGCTCTCTGCTTACGGGCAGAGAGCATCCCCAGGCGAGGCTATGTAGAAGGGCAGAGTCTCATATTGCAAAACACCTACCCGATCCCGTTTTATATGGGGTCTACGTTGAATTTTTGGTCTTAAATTAAATTCGGCCTTGTGCCACATTCGACTGAGTAAGGGCAATTGGTAGATATTGTTTGCGGTCTGCAGTTGGAGATTCGTCTCCAGCTGTGCTGGTTAAGCTTTCTGCCTCTGGGCCGAGAATATCCCCAGACGAGGCTATGTCGAAGTGCAGAGTCTAGTCTCGGGAAACACTTTAAAATTACAGTGATCGGTAAAACATCCTCTTGAGGGTCGTTTCCACAGAGCAGTATTTCGCGGGAAGAAGCTGTTCCAGTGGAATTTACTTCTCAGCGATGGAATACGAGGAAATGTGGGCAGTTTGCTACAATGTAAGTGGTATGGCGGGTCCTAAACGTGAGGATTAGAAGTGACGGAACCAATGAATATAGCTCGTCCGAGCACTTTCCATGGAAGTAACACATATCTGAGAGAGGTTGGAGAGGAGAAAATAACACACAAAGACTTGGAGAGGCTTTTGAATTCCATCAAGACTGGAAAGTAAGGACTGGGCAGCTCCCGCTGAAATATCACAATAGTACTGTATTTTCGACCTTGTGTGGCTTTTGTAAACGTAGAGGATAGCACGAGTCCGGTGCTTAGTGGATCTGTAGAGATAGCCGACCATTTTACCGGTATCTTTAGAGAGGGATCGTATACTGGTATTTAACAGCCTGTATCTAACTGATGGTGAGCAAACTAAGCTTAAATGATACTGGTAGTGTATTTTGTTTGAACCTTACTTATCGCCTCACTAATATGGCCTTGTTCTAGTTTAAGTAATTTTAATATTTGTATTCTGACTCCTTCATTTGATTCAGTAAAATTAAAGAAAATATAGGAAATAGTGATTTAAACATTATACTTTAAACTTGTCTATATTTCTGTTATAGCTTTGTAAGAAAGTTCACGTGCAGATTAAATGAGAGCACAAACCTGAATTTTCCTTACATTTTATAGACTTCAATATTTCGTCAGTTACTCTCGGCCAGTGGTGGGAAGAGGCCCCCAAAGCCCTGGTCCGATAGACATTCTCCGTCTATCTATCTATCTTACTTATTATAAAACGCAGATTGTGTGTGTGTGTGTGTGTGTGTGTGTGTGTGTGTGTGTGTGTGTGTGTGTACGTTTATATATTGAATCGGATTTCCTACATTTTTCAACCGATTTCAACAAAACTTCACAGGACTGCGTAAAATTACCTTGCGGTGGTTCTGACAGCGCCAAAGATTGGAAAAACACAATTGTTTTTTGCACGAAATCAATTTGAAACACGATTAAGAGACATCACGAATGAAAGGGGGACAACTCATATCGAGTTATACTTATTATAAAACCCAGGTTGGTTGTTTGTATGCGTGTGTGTGTGTGTGTGTGTGTGTGTGTGTGTGTGTGTGTGTGTGTGTGTGTGTGTGTGTGTGTGTGTGTGTGTGTGTGTGTGTGTGTGTGTGTGTGTGTGTGTGTGTGTGTTTATATATGGGATCGGATTTCCTACATTTTCAACCGATTTCAACAAAACTTCACTTTTTTTGGCAGGTAGTGTTTCTTATTGTCTTGCACACTTTTTCTTTATTTTTACATTCAGAATGTTTTAAAATTCCATTTACAAGACAATTGTTTATAATAAAATTCTATTCAATCGGTAGACTCATAACGATTGAAAACAATGTTTTTGAGTTTGGGTTTGACCAATTCGTAAAAGAAAAAAAAACTTATGAAGACATGCGTGTCCGTCAACCTTAAACAATAATCTTTGTCAATTTTATTTTTCAGTCTTTATGATGATGGATACTAGATCTATCTCTTACTGTTACATCACCGGGCAACGCCGGACTCTACTACTAGTCAGTAATAAAAGTGAGTGTATCAGTTAAAGGATAACACCAGACATGAATCTTCATTATTTAACATTTTATTTACTCCAATTCATGAGTCATTCTCAGCCACTCTATGGTGTGAATCACGTCATCAACTCCTGATCCGACATTCGCTATCTGCTGTGTATAACAGTCTGTTTGAAACTGCCTTCATTATTTGCTTATGTATCCATCAACATTCTCGATCGTGGATATGCGGGTGGTGTAACATATACTGACTCGGATTGGGAAATCAGAGTGCCGGTATCGTATTCAAGTCAAGTTCGATATATTCACTTACGCGCAAATACCCTTGGGAAAGGCATGAACCCTTCTCCGCCTATGGTTTAAACAGTAGAAGTAGAGAAATCGTTATTATTCTCAAGAAATTGGTATGCAATATTGAGTTGCAAATAAGGAATTATTTTTATATCCAAAATATGTATCGACTTAAAATAACCCAGAAAAGGTTGACAAACCGTAAAAGAAAATAAATCAATTAATCTGTTAAGCAATTAACATTCTTGTTTTCACGCTTGCTATATTGAGTGCCTGTGTGAGACCAGGTACCTCGACATTCGGTGACATTTGGTGCAGCCGAATTTCTTGATGTCTGGTGTAAAATATTTAGCGCAATGTCAGTTATGGTATAATAATAATATTTTAATCAATAAAAATACGCGGAACTGAAATCAAGATTTATTTTGATAACTCAACACCGACAAAAAAAAATATTGAAGGTATTGGCAACTAATTGAATATCTTGCTGCAAAACAAGTTGTGAATTGAATGATTTGAAAAGAAAAAGAAAAAAAACGGAACTTGTTTTTCTCAATTCATTCTTTTTCTTGCCAAATTATCTTTCGTATAAGCGAATGAAAAGCAAGATACGGCGTCCCTTCTGCGCCGTAACGAAATTAGGAATTATGTCGCCATTTTAAAATTCGTGCTTCAGTTTGAACTTTTAGAGTGAACCCTTTACTTTTTCAAATAAAGAAATTGTGTCAATAAAAAGACATGAAAAAAAAACTATAAAAATAAAAAAACATTCTTTTGATATTTCTTGTCCTCTTTCAGAACTTTATTCTGTTTATATCTTTTCCATATGCAGCGAATAAAATATCTCAAATCTTTGATTTATCATTCTACATAAAACAAAATAAGAAGAAATTTTCTGAAAAAATATTTCTAACCACTGCTTCAGCCATATTTGAATTTCTTCATTAAACA